GTAAAATTGAAAATGAAAATAAAACTATCATAGTTTCATTTATAAAATTTTTAAAGGATATTATTCACATAATGGTGATCTCATTTGTTTTATGGCTCTTGCATAATTTTTAAATTGTTTTAAGGGGCAGGATTGGCTCTTCTGTCTCAAGTTTGCTGACCCCTGCCCTAGCAGACCCTTTTCAAATTTTGTTTCAAGGCCATATAGTTTCCATTTCCTTTCCAATGCCAAACACCCTCTGATAGCAAGAAGGTTTTGTTTTTCTGACAAGCTTTCCAAGAAAATTTACCAGCTTCCTGGGTAATTGAGTGTCAGTGTCTCTCAGTGTAATTGAATCTAGTGGCAGACCCTTCTGCTTCAGGTTTAGATGGTGTACATCTTTACAAACTATGCCTCTTCTTTTTCGTTCTCCTCTTAAGTTCTCGGGGGATCTTTTAGGTCATGAATGTGTTGCTTATGAATCATCAGAGTTAGTGTTGGGAGCCCAAAACCCATCTGTATGGACTTCAGCTTAAATCTCTGCAAGCAGAATGTATGGAAATTGCTTGAAGAAGCTAAAAATAGCCACATGCATCTTCTCACAATCCAGTGCTTCTCCCTGCTCTTTGTGAACTGGGTATACGGGAGAGCAGTACCTTGGCTCTTGTACTTCAGACTTGAAATGATGCTGTGGGACCTTTCAATGCAAACGTGGAGAGAGAGGAGCAGGTTGGATTTAGTCCCTCATCATTGATTTTATGTCTTAAGCAACAATCCATGAAAGGCCTGGGACTTAGGGGATGACCATGAAGTTTCAAATCAACATGCTTAGTGAGAAGGCCCATGTCTACACTTCTGCGTTGATCCCACATACACCTAGAAAAGCCTACTGTCCCAAGGGTCATCCTGGGCTGGTCCTCAAATAGAGACTATGGACATGGCTGCCAGTGCACAACTAGAGAAATCTAAGGTGAGCACCCAACAAAAACTTGTATCAAATAAACAGCGAGTTTTGCTTTGGACACACTAGGAATTGTATCAGTGGTATCTTTTAATATAAATTTTATTGAATTATGGCATACACATCACTAGTATTTTTCTTTTTAATAGAATTGTAGTGCAACTCAGTGGATATAAGTTGCAGTCATGCTAGATAAGTAAGTTCTAGAAACCTGCTGTACAGCATGGCGCCTGTAGCTAACAATGTGGTATTGTGCGCTTCAAAATTGGTTAAGAGGGTAGAGCTCATGTTAAGTGTTCTTACTTCCAAAGGAAGAAGGAAACTTTGGAAGCCATTGAATAGCTATGTCTATTATCTTGATTGGTGACAGCGTCACAGGTGTTTGCATATGTCCAAACTCATCACACTGTACACATTAACTACGTGCAGTTCTTTGTATATCAATTATATCAATAAAGCTGTTAAAGTAATAATAATATAAATTGTATTGAAGTATAAAATATTTACTGAAAATTAAACGAGTATTAAATATATAGCTCAAGGAATTTTCTCAAAGGGAATACATACCTAAAACCTGTAGCAGAACATTACCAGCATTCCAGGAGTCCCTTTCTGTCCCCTTCCGTTCATTACCCTGGTTTCAAGGTAACCAGTAACCTGACTTATAACATCATAGACAACTTTTGCAGTTTTTTAACTTTATGTAAATAGTCACACAATATGTACTGTTTTATGTGTGTTTCTTTAGTTCAGNAAAAAAAAAAAAAAAGAACTGAGATCAGGCAACAGCAAGTGTGTATTGTTTTTCTCTGGCTATCTTTCATGTATAGCAAGGCATCTGAAACAATTTTATTACCTTAGGAATGTTTTTGTGTTCTGGTTGTTCTTTTCAAAAATAGCTATATTAGTGCCTAAATTGTTGAATGCCTCACTAATGATTTTGTTTTTAAATGTTTGAGGAACAGAAGTCTCTGGAAGCTGGCACTCTTCTTATTTTTTTCTTTTTCTTTTCCCTTACTCCAAGAGTTAAAAGTGTGGCTTTGACGATGAAGCCATTTCTGGAACCTCCAGGGAATAGAAGGACAAGTCAGTGGAGAGCAAGGGTCCCACTTCCACTGACTCACTGTCGTGGGTCGTGAGTGTGGCAGGTGGGAAAGAGGCAGGAGGACAGATATTAGCCAATGAATGTTTATTAGCCTCCAGTCTTTTCAAGCTCTATTTGGACAATTGAATGATTCCTCCCCTTTTTCTTCCTCTTTGAATAAGTGACGAGTGCCATCAGAATTCACCTTTTGGGAGAATGCAGAGCTGCTGATTAGGCTGTGCTAAATGAAATATAAACACGTTGATGAGCTAGGGAATTAACTCACAGCTACGGAGAAACCCAAGTTGACAAAATAGAAAGTGATGAAGGTGGTGACTGCTCATTGCTCAAGGCAAGGCCTCCTTGTTGCTTTTATTGTGGGATTTTTTTTCCCCCTGAGAGAAATCCTATGAGGACCCTAATATATAAAACAGGAAACAAAACAAAGAATACCCAAACGACTGTCGTTAGAATGACATCCTGGTAGCGGGACGTTAGAGAAGCTGTTCCGCCTTTGAGATCTGAAACTTCTTCATGTATCTTTATGAGGATCAAATAAAGTAAATTTTATAAATTGCTAATGTAAAGTATTTTGATTTCAATGGAAGAGTCTGAGAGACCAAATCCTTAGATTAAAGAAAAATGTTTTCTAATACAACATTTCAGCTATCATGAGAAATAGCTCATCTTTAAGTCAGAAGAGCTTTCTCAATGTCCCTTAAATCATGTGATGTTTGACGTTTCTAGACTTACTGATTTGAAAGACTTGTCCTGGTATTTAGATTTTTCAGGCATTTGTTTTTTGGTTTTTTTTGGAAGGTGGAGGAAGGGCTAGATGTCTTCTCCCTCCACCCCAATGGGCAGCAAGGGTTCATGCTCCTTTGTGTAGAACCAGGAAGGGGGTGGGGGACAACCCAGGAAGTGGTGGTTTCCCAACGGAGGATGAGGGAGAGTATCACTGTGTTTCAATTCTCAGGACAGCATCATTGTGGCGGGAGACCCTGAATTCTGAACCAAGGCCATGGAGGGCTCCGTGCTGAGCCCCACATCCTGGGAGAAGCGACGGGCCTGGCTCCGTCAGAGCCGCCACTGGCAGACCCAGGTCCTGGAAGAGGAGGCTGCAGCTGCCCTGCAGGATGTCCCAGATCCTGAGCCATCCAACCTGGATGACGTTTTCCAGGAAGGTAAGAGGCAGTTCGACATCAAACAGACTTCCAGGTTGTCTTGCAGGAAAAATGTGCTGGCAGGCCCAGGTCTGCAGAATGTGAGCAGTGGGTCCCTTGTAGGGACCCTTGTAGGGACCCACTCAGGGAGGCTCATTTTGACTGGCTTAAATGAATTTAAGGGAAGGAGGATAAAGTAATACAAAACATGAATTATATGAGAAAGAGACAGGCATGAGATTAGGAAAAAGAAAGAGGCACATTTTTGTATCATCCTGAGACGCTGTCTGTAGGATTCAAGTTCAGGGTTCTATGGGAATGTTTTAGGGTGTTTTATTTTGTCTATAATAAAGTAACCCTCAACTCGAACTCTGGCTGAAACTCTGTCACTAACAAGCTATGTGACCTTTGGCAAGTCACTCACCTCTCGAAGACGTATTTGTCTCAGTGAAATAGTAATAGTACCTTTTCTACACACCTCTCAGAGCTTCTTTGAGGTTCAAATGAGACTACAGCCATGAGAATAAAAAAAATTTTTTTAGAACTTGTATAAATGCAAGATTGTGCTCTTTTGTTTTGTGTGTGTGTTGTTATTTATTTTGTTGTTGTTCGTTTGTTTGTTTGTGTTGAGAAAGGTCCACCCCTATTCCTAAACCATGGGGAAGAGAGGAGTGGGCCTGATATCCTGAGCATTTTCCAGGTTCCTGGGAGGAAGGGAGTGGGGAGGCAGAGAGAGAAGAAACACCCAGTATTTTTATACATGGGTATATTCTTCCCATATCTTAAAGAAAAGTTTTATGAAGGAAAAAAGAATTCATGATGGGGCTTATATAAGAATAAACTTGAGCATGGGGTGAGTTACAAACAAGAAGTCTGGTTTCCTTCACGTCTCACAGTGATCTGATACCTTAATTTTCTAGGGAATCCAATCACTAAGATTGAAGACTGGCTGCAGGATTGTGGGTAAGTACAAGAGATGCAATGCGGTTGAATGTCCTTGATGGCTGGACATTCTAACAGGCACTAACTCTTGGGAACTCGGAAACTGGGAATGGGTTTGAATTGGACCTAATGGTTAGAAGTGAGGTTGAAATGGGTGGTGGGGGTGTGGATTGTAAGGGTGAGTGTGAGCATTGGGGCTATGAATCAAGTACAACTCTGGTCTGAGACTAGATTAGAGTGGAAGTCTGGAAATATATGCTGGATCTAGTCTAAAGCCAAGAATGATGGAAATCCGTAGCTATGGGGAATGGCTGGGCTGAGCTCCAGATCCCTACTGCATTGCTTTTCCCTTCAGACTGAAGTCTAATGCTGTGTAACAAAAGAGGAGCTAGAAACCTAATTGTTCTCATGATCAGAGTAAGTCATCACTATTGTTAGTTATTTCTACTGCAGAACACAGGAAGAGGAGCTAAGGGCTTACAGCAGTCATTCAAAGCAATGAAGAATTGGGGCAGGTACTTCAAAGCAAAATGTCGTAGTATCTCTTTCCTCAGAAACACTTAAAATATGAGACCCCAGACCCCATCAGCCTGTACAATTTTAGGCTCAGCCTACCCAGACACAGAGGGGGAAGCTTCTGTGACCTAGTTAAGTCTGATCATTTGTGTGATAATGAATTCTCAGAATTTATAACCCCTGTCTGCTCTTTAGTTCCCCTCCAGGAATGTTTCAAGCTTTACATAGGATTTAATCTAAACTCATCTATTAACATAACATAAACCCATCCTTGCTTATTTGGTAGGAAATAAATAGCATGGAATAAATCCAAGGCTGTTTATTTCAACTATGTCCCAGAAGGTAATGCCAGGAAGGATTTATTTTGTGTTTTTGTTGTTTATAAAACATATCGTCCTTGTTATCCTAATCTGGTT